TTTTTTTTTTTCTACTCTGCGGACAAAGTGCGCCTCGCAGTCCAACCGGCTCGAAGGAGTCAATGGCGGCGGTTACCTACCAAGGGTCTTCTGTGAGGCCTTATCGATCATCTATCACAACTGCCTACATACATGCAGACGTTGCACGGCTCCACAACGGCACCCCGCGCTTGATGGACGGTCGTGCGTGTCCTGTCATGTTGTGTCCGTACTGCCGCCCAGCTTGGCTCGATGGATGCGCGCGGGCTCAGTCAGTCGCTCGCTAGCGCAGGCATATTTGGGATTAGCAGGCGTTTGAGCAGCGCCCTCTTTGCCAGTAAACTTTGACAACACAACAGACCAATGTCTGAGCGGCAGGCACCAGGGCACCCGTGGGCACCAGCCGGGATGCTCCCAGTCTGCCAGCGCATCAGAAAGACTGCAGCCACTCTACGACCCAAGTCGCCCTTTACTGGATTGAGCAAGAAGGAGCCCCAGGTCAGGATGGCACGGGGCCGCACTCACACCTTTCAGGGATCAGGCTCACTGGCGGGTGGGTGCGGGTGCCTGCCAGCGTGGCCGTTTTGGCCTTGGAATCAAGGTGTCGTCTGGTGGGTGTCAATGCCCCGTTCCTTCCCCATCCGGGTGTCGCATCGACTCAGGTGCCGGTGCCCACGTCATTGGCTCAAAATTGCTGCAGAAAAGTGAGGCGGCCGCCCTGTTTTGCCATGACTGGCTGTCGACTTTCCCACCATCTGCGGGCCAATCCCGATCCTTTTGGCCATCTTTTCCCCTTTTCTTTTCCCTCAGGTTCCTTTTCTGCTCGCCCGCCGTCGCATCTGCCTTGATCACCGCCTTTTTTGTCCTCTCTCGGTCAGCGGTCCCACACCAAGATGGGGTCCAATGCATGAGTGGCTCCCCACGCACATCTCAATCGCACATCTCCATCACCCATCTTCATCACCCATCTCCGTCGCCCCATCTCATTTCGAGCACTGCCACTATCCGCGCTGCTTGGCATCCAGATCTCAACGCCAAAGTATCAATTCACACACCGACCAAGTGCTGTCTTCCAAGTTTGTCCACGCCAAGCCATTTCATCGCTTGCAGGCCCACCATTAACATTGCTCCCGCCTATCCTGGTGTCTATCTCCCTCGTCTCTTTTCCTTTCACAGTCGCCGGGCAATGTAATATTCCCTTCATCATGATTAGCCACGCCACACAGGGACTTGTAGACTCTGTATCAAATCCCGTCTCCGACTCACCTCCCACTTCCACCATCCGACTTGGTCGCAGCCCCTCGGTGCACTTGGCTCGTCTTGGTTGATGTGGTAGCAGTGGTGACACGAGGGGTCGTGTCTTGTCATTATAATCGTCTGGTGGAGGCCACGCGCCGACGTTTGTTGGTCCAGCCAACGGCCTGTTGCCGTCTGCATATTGGGGCTCCAACAAGACTCAGAAGTCGGGTGCTTATCTGGTAGGCAGCGCTCACGTGCTTTCAGTCACAACCATTGCTGCGCCCCCTCAGCCGCCAGCCCTTCCTCCGTCCTTTGTTCTTCTGTTTCGCCCGGGAGATATGAGAGCCAGTGGCTCGGCACATTTGGTAGCAGGTAGCGCGCCATTGCGGGCATGCAGTGCGCCACGCCCGCCCGTGTCGTGCCATGTTGGCCTGCGAGACCCCGTTCTGTTTGGTCGTCAGCGTGGTCAGGTCCATCCCGCCAAGCCGCTCCCACGTCCATGTCTCAAGCCCATCTGCTCCCTTCATGCAGTATCACTGACGATCTATGGTTTCCCGCATCGCTGTTCTGCATTGCCCTCCGCCCCCCGGCGCCTCCTCCATCATCCCGAAACATGTGACGTTATTGGCGGGCACAGCGCTCGTGACATCCTTGGAAATGGACCCGGGCGCAACGACATGCTATCGCCGGTCCATCCAATGGGCTCGTAAGTTGTATACTCCGAGCCGGGCGCCGTTGCAGTCCTTTCCCGGACATAGGCGGAACCCCTTCGGCTCCCTGCTCTCTCCAGCCTTGCAATGAAACCCATTGCCGTGTCTCGGGGGTTACTGTATCATGGTGGCTTCCTGGATTCCTGATCCATGCATTTTCACGTCCGTGTTTTTTTGGGGAGCGCCCCAATAGACAGTAGAACCACAACAGGGCCACAGTCATCGAAATGCCAGTACACATTGAAGAGAGAGGCTTCGTAGTTCAGGCGGCGCCGGCTACGGGCACCAAAAGCCAGCATAATCCTTCTGGATCGGGCTCATCCCCTGCGGGGCAGTACCGATGTTTTGTCATCAGGGTAGCATCAAAAAGCGTCCCAACGTGGTGGGGGCCGAACCTCTGTAGTCCGTCCTGGATCGGCAGAAGGAGACGCAGTTTTACGCCATCTGGAGGCCTAGGCGAGAGGGATAGGAGGATCTCATGCATCCAGCTACTCTCAAGGCCTACATCTACGAGGGTTCCGTATGAGATTGCTGCTTCAGGCACGCGGTTTGGCGCTTTGGAGCCAGAGTCCGGCTCGTCGCGGCTCGTCGCGCGCAGTACTTTGTACACAAATGAAGCTTAGATGGTCTCTTCGAGGCTTAGGCCCTCGATAAACGGAGCGGTCATCCTCAGCCACTACATTTCGACAAATGAAGCTCGTAGATGTTGGAATGAACCGTGGTGGTTATTTTGTCTGTGTGGGCTGTAGGACATCGTATTCCCGGCCTCCCGGAGAATTAAAGTGTCTGCTATCACAATAGCGCCATTCGTTGAAGTAATAGACACGCTTCCCGTTGTGGTCAACATGCCGCAGGAGTTGGTTTCCGTTTCCAAAGCGCTGTGAGCAAATAAATGGCTTGGCTATACTGAAGCGAGAAAAGGAAGACTGCCTCGAGTGAGTGGTAGGCACCAAGGCCTCCCCGATAGATATCGTACGGGAAGTGGCCCTCGGGTACACTGCCGTGAATCCTGAAGATTGGCTTTAGAAACCCCCAGCAAGAGAACCTTCCGTGATGGCAAAGTGTGTAGGACTGATTTTTTTCGATGCGCTCTAGGTCGAGGAGCTCGGGGACAAGAGAATGTGGCAGCCCCATGGTCATATACTCCCAGCGGAGAGGTTTCTCCTTCCTTGGAAGGCTCAGCGTATCGAATAGCTGCATATGATGCCTGGTGATTCGGTACTATACCGAAATGGCCGAAAAATTCTTCGGCGGCAAAGTTAGGTGGAGTGACCCAGCCGTAGGACATGCTTCAGGGAACTTCAGAACAGCTTTGAAAGGATGCGGCTGGTCTAGCCGCTTACCACGAAAAGCTCGCCATGCCCACGAATCCAAAAGAGGATGGTGTGAAGGACTGGTCAGTCATCACGGTCGATGGTTAGGAAGATCTACCTGTAGGTCTCCTCTAGGTTCTTTTGAAGCACCTCCAATATTTGTCGGATGTTGCCTACCGTCCCTTTTCTCAAGACAAGATCTAGCTGACACAATGTCTATAGAGCTTCTACGGGGAAGAATAAATCCCTAAAAAAAGGTCGACAAACGAGTTCTTGAGAAGCAACGGAGGAACCAAAACAGGAGAGCGCCTTCTCGTATACATTGGTAAGGCCCCGTCCACTTATCGCCATGTGGATTTCGTCGTCAGACCAGATTTCCAACTAGCCCGGGTTGCCCACTGGTTCGGGGCTGCCGAAACGTATACACCATATCTATCTTGGCATACTCTCGGAGAGCACTCGGTTTCTATGTACTTTTGCTGGTGGTAAGCAGCCGGAGATTTTCGTAGCTGTACAATGTCAGGAGGTCTCACAGGGAAATAAGCATGCCGTCTCGGTTGGCCTTCATGGCAGTACTGACGATCATGTAGAGAGAATTCTAGTCGTGGGATGCGATGAAAGCTTCCGGAAGCTCGTTGAGCTTGCGGACTCGACAGCGCTGGCTGGTAATCCAATGAAGCGTCGCCATGGCTGTTACAGTAGGAAGAGTAGAGACATCTACGCTCGTTGAACGCGGTTCGTTCACAATAGGCTTTGAACTTTCCGGTCAGAAAAGGGGCTATGGAGGTCCTGCCAGCCCGGGAATGCCACGAAGCTGCAGTGTCCGTGTAGATAGCGGGCTGCCGCCAAACCAAGATCCATTCGTCGGTGCCGAGAACCCACTCGCCTGTGCGGTTCTCCTGACGCTTCAAAATCTGGTGATTCGAATCTGACTGATCTCTCCTGCAGCCCCCCTGGTGCCCTCCTGGGTCTCCAAAAAATGCTTGCATTTCGCGATAACCTTGACCGAAGTGCTCACCACAGCCATCATGGTTACGACCAACCTCGGCGGGCCAGATACCTTGAGTCTGCTGTGAACTTCGTGGGAATGTGATGCTTGGCTGGGACCGCAACTTTATGTTTGCAAAGGGAGCTCTCGTCACAGAGCAGACAGATAGGGGAGCATAGCACCTCCGTCAAGCGACGGGAATCGCTGCGGGGACAGGCTGGCTGGGCCGCACGGTGTGTAAACAACTGGCTTGCGGCCAAAATGCATCACATGTAACATCCTGGTTGGCTGGGCCTATCGCTTGGCGGACTACGTGCATCTATATGAAATGGCCACATTTACAAAATGGTGGGTTGGATTGATAGGTCCAGCCAGATACTTCTAGTATTACGTGAAGTCGTGTGAACCTCGCCAGCTCCCGGCCTCCTGATAGGCGACCTGGGCAGACTTCGGAAAGCTCGCTCTGGAGTGCTGCGCCTACCATATGCGACTAGGAGCGAAATTCCGATGATAAAATGCAAGGACAAAAAAGAGACAACGATTGCCTTGCAATTAGTCCATACACATGATGACAACGACAATGTAGAGACTAGGGTATGGCGTTGGACGTGCATGGACAGGACGAATCGCGTGTCTTTCAGGTAGAAAAGAAGTGTGAAACGGGTGATATAGGTGATTGCAGGCGAAACCACAGAGGTGATTAAAGGAACCAAAGCGGAAGGCAGGCTCGATGGCACGCGCGTGAGGTGTGACACGGCCTGTTGCTTGGGAGTTGGGAGCCATTCGGACCTTCGCTGGGCAAGTATTTGAGGTTGTGCTTGGCGGCAGACCCGCGACTGTTTAAATTTGCGGGGTTGTGGTCTTGATACTCGATAAGGCTACCGAGCTGCCGCATATGGAGACCGCGAACTGCCTCGTGTCCAACAACAAGAGACCGAGACACTCGTCGATTGCGTGTTTTGTCTCCACGAGCTGTTCCTTGCCCACGCCCACCGAAGGAGGGGATATGCCGGTGCCCTCGCCGCGTCCGGCGCGCGGGATAGATCAGTCTGGCCGGTTATGGCATCGGCATATCAAAAGCGACGTTGGATCGAGTCGAGAAGGGAGGCGACCTGACATGGATGGACGTGGATGAACACGAGAGGCTCCCTGGGCTGGAAATAGCACCGCCGCTAGGGAATGGTAGAGTGGAGAGCTTCTGAAGCTTCTCAGTATCAAGTGTCCCACCACCGCACCAGGCTGTTCATCTCTCGCATTGTTAGGAGCACCCTTACGGTGTCCATGTGAGGTGGCAAAATTTTCTTCTTCTTTTCTTTTCATTGCTAAAGAATCCTATCCCGTCCACAACTAGCAATGGCAAGCCAGGGGCTATCCATCGCCAAGATCAATGAACACTGAATTACATAGCCGATTGATCACAATGAAGCGGGGTTGTTTTCATCGCTCGTGCCCATTCAAGAGCACTGCGTGGCATCAGCCTCGCCGGGCTGAGCACTCGGGCCGAATTGCTGATTTAGCAGAACTGCGGCTGTGAAAACAAGTCGTGATGTGCAAGATTTAGGATTACCAAGGCCCAACGCGCTGATCGACACTGTCGTCAAGGATAGCAAGAAAAAATCATGCAAGGGGAGAAAAAAAAAGGAAAGTCAATGGCTTGGCGCCGAAATCTAAAAAGGGGAACCCGCGTGGGAGTGAAATGGCCATCGCTCGCTGGGGAGCCGTGGAGCTAGGAGAGGCTGTGAGAAGACGCGCAATCAAGTCAACTCATTGAAGACGACCAAATACCAAAGCAAACAAAGCTGCAGGAAAAAAAGGAGACAAAAAGGGGAAGCCCTTGGACGCTTCAAGCGCCTTCACGCTGAGTACGAGGTTCTCGTCGCAAAGCCACGACCAGCCCACCGTCAGGGGCAAGCCAAGGAGACATGTTGTCGCGTCGGAAAACGTAGCTGCCGTTAGCCGGGCCAAGCCCCGAGTGGTTTGTGGCCAATACGCACGGTATGCTCAACAGTCAGCTGTGCGATCCTGCGATGTTGAATTAAGCCCTTGAGTTGGTCCAGCCCCTGAACGGGACCTGCCTAGATGCTAAAACGACCGTCCGCCGGCGATACATGGCCAGCAAATGTGAGAAGCCGGGTTGAGTTAGAGTGTGGTAGCGATCTGGTGAATAACGGTGAGGCCGGCCTGGGAGAGAGCAAGCCAAGGGGCACCGACTGCGAACAGCGGAAAGCCCGTGCTGGGCTGGCTCCCCTTTGTGGGGAGGACCGACACGTCGCCGCCGCGATCCGTTCCATGCTGCGGTTTCAGCTCCTTTTTCTTTTCTTTTCAGGGCGCCGAAGCCTCCACGAGACCCTGGCGTGGTCCCCTGTGGCAAGCGAAATAGAGATGCCCCAGTATGCGGCAGGAAAAGAAGCTAGATTGGAATAGAATCGGCCTTGACATCCAGCTATCCATTGTTGCAGCCTCGTAAGCGCTTGCAGGTCTACATTACCCATTCACTGCTGGACTGAATGCAATAGTGAACATTGAATTCCTTTATGCTGCAGCTCAAGGCGACCAGGCTGTTCGCTCCATTCTCATCAGCGAATCCTTCTCGGTCGACACCGAGCAGTCACACTGTGTCAAGCCTAACCCGCTAACAAAGAACGACTCACGGCCTTCCCGCGCTTCTGGGACTGGATTGGATGACCGTGCAGCACCCCTCCACCCTCCACCCTGTGCCTGTTGACCGTCCCCGAACCCCGGGCCCGACCAGCTTGACCCAGACCAGACCCTCCTGCGGCAGCAGCCCAGTCCAGCCTGCGCGGCCGACATTTCCACCCACCCACTGACGCCAACTTCTTCGCACGGTCTGGTCCTCCAACGTCGTCAATCCAGCCCAGCAATCCGGCCGTCGAATTCCCTCAACCTTCTCTCTCCCCAACCACAACCCTTCCTGTGGAAGGCATTCCTCTCTCATTAGGCTTCCACCGCATCCTTAGCCGCCGTATTTCCTTTCCTCCCGTCGTTCACGTCCGGCTCCCGCCACCGCGTTGCCCACCATGTCTTGGAGGTTGACCAAGAGTAGGTCAATCTTTGCCTTGATCCCCCGCACTCCTCGAGGCGCCATGTCGACCCTTGGGGCCGCCCGCTGCCCTCGTCGGATTGCCATCTCGTCACATGAATGGAAACGGGTCTCAGTCGTGCTCTGGAATGTTGTTGTGCTGACCAAAGCCTGCCGCAGAGCTCAAGGAGACACACCTGACAACCACGCTCTCCAACACATTCTCCCGCTCACCTTCGACATCTACCATCACCGACAAGAGCGGCGAGGGAGGTGATGAGAAGGGCGCCGGGAGCATCTCGGGCGCGGCCACCCCGACTAGCGAGAGCAACATCGGTAAATATCTCTAGGACCTTCAGACCGCATCATGCTTTGGTCAACCCTTGCTTCTGTCTAACAAGCCCGGTGGCGGTGTATTCAGCCATAGAAACCCTCACCCAGGCCCCCGTTGTCAAGCCGTCGAAACCCGGAATCCTCGTCGTAACCCTGCACGAGGGCCAGGGCTTCTCCCTCCCAGAACAGCACCGGGCCGCTTTCAGCGCCTCCAACCACCAGTCCTCGGTCTCTACCGGAAATGGCTTCGGCGTCGCCGGCTCTGTCCGCCCGGGCTCCTCGCAAAAGTCCCCCACCTACTCGAACGGCAGGCCGCAGACGTCGGGTGGTGGCTTCGGCCCACTCCCTACGAACCACGGCCGCTTCTCGGGCAAGTACATGCCCTACGCCCTGATCGATTTCGACAAGGTCCAGGTCTTCGTCAACTCGGTCGAGGGCTCGCCCGACAACCCGCTCTGGGCCGGTTCCAACACGCAGTACAAATTCGATGTGTCGCGCGTAACCGAGCTCACCATCCATCTTTATATCCGAAATCCGAATGCCCCGCCGGGTTCAGGCCGGAGCCAGGATATCTTCCTCGGCGTCTGTCGCATTAACCCGCGGTTCGAGGAGAAGCAACAATTCGCCGAGGACCCCAAGATGAGCAAAAAGGACAAGGAGAAGGCCATGGCCGAATTCGAGAAGAAGCAGCGGGCGTTGGGTTTCAGCGGGGTCGAGTGGGCGGACGTGCAGTACGGCACGGGCAAACTCAAGATCGGAGTCGAGTTCGTCGCTAACCGTACGGGAAAGCTCAAGCTGGACGAGGACTTTGAGCTGCTCAAGGTCGTGGGCAAGGGCAGCTTCGGAAAGGTCATGCAGGTCCGCAAGCAGGACACCAACCGAATCTATGCCCTCAAGACCATCCGCAAGGCACACATCATCTCGAGGTCCGAGGTGACGCATACCCTTGCCGAGCGCTCTGTCCTGGCGCAGATCAACAATCCTTTCATCGTCCCGCTCAAGTTCGCCTTCCAGTCGCCCGAGAAGCTCTACTTCGTGCTCGCCTTCGTCAACGGCGGCGAGCTGTTCCACCATCTGCAGAAGGAGCAGCGCTTTGACGTTAACCGCTCGCGCTTCTACACTGCGGAGCTGATCTGTGCTCTCGAGTGCCTCCACGGCTTCAATGTCGTATACCGCGATCTTAAGCCCGAGAATATTCTGCTCGACTACCAGGGCCACATCGCGCTGTGTGACTTTGGCCTCTGCAAGCTCGACATGAAGGACGAGGACCAGACCAACACCTTCTGCGGCACGCCCGAGTACTTGGCACCCGAGCTGCTCGAGGGCAAAGGCTACGACAAGGCGGTCGACTGGTGGACTCTCGGTGTGCTTCTCTACGAGATGCTGACGGGCCTTCCTCCATTCTACGACGAGAACACGAACGAGATGTACAAGAAGATCCTCTACCAGCCTCTCGACTTCCCTGGCCCTGAGATAGTGCCTCCAGCCGCGCAGGACCTGCTGAGGAAGCTGCTGGATCGGGATCCCAAGACCCGGCTTGGTTCGCCAGAGCGGGGCCGCGGCGCAGCTGAGATCAAGTCACACCCCTTCTTCCACGCCATAGACTGGCGAAAGCTCCTGCAGCGGAAGTATGAGCCGGCTTTCAAGCCCAGCGTTGTACGTTTCGCTAGATCCCCTCCCCTTGATCCCCCCGAAGCAGCTAGTTGCGCGCCTTCGGACGACGTGCCTACCAACACGTTGGACTCTACTGACCTTGTGTGTCTCGTGTGTCTAGGCCAATGCTCTCGATACCACCAATTTCGATCCCGAGTTCACGTCGGAGGCGCCCCAGGACTCGTACGTCGAGGGACCAGTCCTGTCGCAGACCATGCAGGACCAGTTCCAAGGCTTTAGCTACAACCGGCCGATCGCCGGTCTGGATGACGCTGGTGGCAGTGTCAAGGACCCGTCCTTCGTTGGCAGCCTGCAGGGCGGCCGATAAAGACAATGAAGAACGACAAGAAAGACGAGGTTCGCATCCAAGACGCATGCTTTGGTGCTGTATCTCCCTTTCTTTCTGAATGCCTTCCCAAGGCTATTGCCACTCCTGCCCATCGGGCCCGGTCTCGACTCTTCGAGGCATCAACGGTCTTGGCTGGTTCCGTCATACTGGTCTGCGATAAAATTCGGGGACTTGGCATGGATCTCTGCGCATCTGGGAATGCAATTCACGACAGCAGTCGACATGACGTCCTCATGGACTGGGTTGGAATTTCAGATTTTCTGGCAAGCTCATTTTCCCAATCGTATGAACCCACGGGCAATATGAAGTTTTCGCTTGCTTTTTCAGCCACCATTGATATACTCGCAGAATTTCCCGCAATACCTTAGGAGTCAGGACTTGTTCACGCTCCGGGGAAATCTGCTCGATCTTTTCTTCTCTTGTTTTTCATTCTCGGCTTTGGCAGTCGGTGGATTTTTTTAGTGTACTTCCTACGTCGCAGCTTTTTTCTCTGCCTCTTTCTGACTATCCCATGTTGGTGTTCATCTGCTGCGCCATTTGTTTTTGCTGTCAATTCAACCAATTTGCCGCTGTCCACCAAGATTAAAGAGGAGGATGCGGATAGCAAAAGACCAGTGTAGATACCCTAGCGACGAAGGGGCGTTGAGCACGCGGTACACAGCCAGTGAGTCTGACTAAGTGCGCACACGCGAGATTTGGTTGTCAACTATTCTCCGGCACTTTTAGAAAATACACATCGGGCTTCACGTGTCTGCCGTAAAACTTGTCGGTCCGCCCTTGCAGGACCTTGCGAGACGCCCTGCGGCTAAGCCCATATCGGCGACCCGGCGACCCGGCGATCTCGCCGGCCTGCTATGGCCATGGTGACGGGATTATGCGTCAAGGGGAAGAGGCTTCGCCTTGGCGATGATGATGGCAGATGTGCTTGGAGCGGGATCATTGAAAAGCAGCATGAATAAGTTTAAGAGGAAAACAAAGTATTAGTCTACGTAAAAAAGGGAATCTCATGTACAAACGACTCCTACCTGATCTCATTTCATCCTCCATACAGAAGCCGTTTAACTCCGCAACGGAGGGCTTTGTGATAGACGTCTGTAGGGCTCGGCACCACCTTAGTCATCCAACGTTGACCCCGCCAGGGGAACGGCGGGGCAGCAGCATGAAGTGACGTTGGACCCTCCAATCGAGGGTGGGGTGGCTGCAGGTGGGCTTCAGCCCCGCCGACGTGAATGCTTCCAGCTACGCCAATGGAGCGGCTGGACTGGATGCGAAGCTCAGATATGTTAATCCCTCAGCACAAAAGGTCTAGACAACCTGCCGTATTGAATCTGTTTTTCTTTGCATTGGACTTGAAATTGGGGGCATCTCTCACCTAAACGCCTCCGGCCCTCTTTCACCCTGCCTTAATTCCTCAAGACACCGGGCAAGTTGGCTCAGTGCACCCGGGCAGAAGGTAAGCTAGCTCCCAGATTCTTATCAACGTTTCTAGACAGGCCTATCCAGCTGTAAAGGCTCGATGAAGGTGATGGGTGGAGTAGCAGGCCAGCTCGACAGGTTTCTACCTCTGGTCTCCTATTTTTACTCACCATGCAAAATCCCTCATACGCATGGGTGAATGGACAGAGCTGCTGCCGGCGAATGCCAATGGACGAATGCCAATGGAGCTCAGTGCAAAAACTCCTCTGGCTTCATGCAAAGCGCTATCCTGAGGCTGACCCAAAGTCCCTGCCAGGCGTCATACTCACGGTTTTGTCTTGAAACCTCGCGGTGCCGGTACGTGAAACCAAAGTGCAGCCAACCTGGCCGAAGATCCTCTCGGGGCAGGCATGCGATGCAATGCCACCCCGAGTCCCTCCTACGTGGGCGGATGGATTTCCAAGCTCCTAAGGTTGTCGTGGATGACGCCGCAACCCACTCGCCGGCAGGAGGGCCGGGGGCGATTATGTCACGCCAATGTCACGTCACTCGTCGACCACGGCGGGACCTACATAACCCCGGGGAGCCTCCACGACATCCATCGCCCCCGCACCCCACCCGCCGGAGGACCTCACGTTCTACTGTGTATATCGTGACAGCTCTGGTATCTAACCAAGACTCGAACACATATCAGATTGACTGACCACCCCCGACCCCGCCACCGAGAGCAGCAGCAGCTCACGACACGACGAGCCCCCTTCCTCGAGACACTAGTCTATATTTCTCTTCAAGCGTTGGAAATCACCGAGCTCCCATTCAAAATGCCTCAAGCAAGCTCCCTGCCCGCGTGGGCCGAGCTCCAGGCCCACCGCGACTCGGTCGGCAAGAGCTTTGTACTGAAGGAGGCCTTCGCCTCGGACCCCGAGCGCTTCTCAAAGTTCACGCGCACCTTCAAGCTGCCGTCCACGGCGTCGTCATGCCCAGGCGATACCGACATTCTCTTCGACTTTTCTAAGAACCTTGTGACCAGCGAGACACTCGATCTTTTGGTTAAGCTCGCCGAGCAGGCCGGGCTGGAGAAGAAGCGCGAGGCCATGTTCAAGGGCGAGAAGATCAACTTTACCGAGGACCGGGCCGTCTACCACGCCGCGTTGCGCAACGTCGGCGCCGAGCCGTGGAGCATGACGGTGGACGGTGCTGATGTCATGGGCGCCAAGGGCGGCGTCAACGAGGTGCTGGAGCACATGAAGGTCTTTTCGGAGCAGGTCCGCAGCGGCGAGTGGAAGGGCTTCACGGGCAAGAAGCTCACCAATATTGTCAACGTCGGCATCGGTGGCTCCGACCTGGGCCCCGTCATGGTCACCGAGGCGCTCAAGCACTACGGCGCCAAGGGCATGACGCTGCATTTTGTGTCCAACATCGACGGCACTCACATCGCCGAGGCGCTGGCGGCCTCGGACCCCGAGACGACTCTGTTCCTGATCGCGTCCAAGACCTTCACCACCGCCGAGACGACGACGAACGCCAACACGGCCAAGACGTGGTTCCTGGAGAAGACGGGCGGCAAGGGTGACATTGCCAAGCACTTTGTGGCTCTGTCGACCAACGAGAGCGAGGTGACCAAGTTCGGCATCGACAGCGCAAACATGTTCGGCTTCGAGAGCTGGGTTGGCGGTCGCTACTCTGTCTGGAGCGCCATCGGACTGAGCGTTGCCCTGTACATTGGCTACGACAACTTCCGCAAATTCCTGCAGGGAGCCCACGAGATGGACAAGCACTTCCGCACCGCACCGCTGCGCGAGAATATCCCCGCCCTCGCCGGCCTGCTCAGCGTCTGGTACTCCAACTTTTACAACGCCCAGACGCACCTGGTCGCACCGTAAGTTGCACGAGATTATGTACATGGTGATGTTCGACTTGGGCGTTGGAAGCTAACAACGGTGTTGCCGCCCTGGGTTCGCAAATTAGGTTTGACCAATACCTGCACCGATTCCCGGCATACCTGCAGCAGCTCTCCATGGAGTCAAACGGCAAGAGCGTCACCTCTGATGGCACCACGGCCAAGTACACCACGGGTGAGTACACGAGCGAGGCTGCATGAGTCTCTGTCCGTCCCCCTGGACGAGACTTGGAGAAGGTGGGAGGTACTAAATGAGACGCCTCGGAACAGGCCCGATCCTTTTCGGCGAGCCCTGCACCAACGCACAGCACTCCTTCTTCCAGCTGGTGCACCAGGGCACCAAGCTGATCCCAACCGACTTCATCCTGGCGGCCAAGTCCCACAACCCAGTCTCGAACAATGTGCACCAGAAGATGCTGGCGTCCAACTACCTGGCGCAGGCCGAGGCCCTGATGGTAGGAAAGACGGCAGAGCAGGTCCGAGCCGAGGGCGTGAGCGAAGACCTGGTGCAGCACAAGGTATTCCTCGGCAACCGACCGACGACGTCAATCCTAGTGGGAGGTCACATCGGTCCCGCCGAGCTGGGCGCGCTCATTGTATACTACGAGCACCTGACCTTCACTGAGGGAGCCGTCTGGGACATCAACTCGTTCGACCAGTGGGGCGTCGAGCTGGGCAAGGTACTGGCCAAGAAGATCCTCAAGTGCGTCCGATCCATTCCCTCCCCCTTACCAAGTGTAAGAATACAAGGAGCTGACAATATTGTGCTTTTTTCGCGTTGCAGGGAGCTCGACGAGCCTGGCAACGGCGCCGACCACGACTCGTCCACCGGCGGCCTCATTGGCGCCTTCAAGAAGTACAGCAACCTGTGAAGATTATGGAGCGACAGCCTGGACAGCCCGGAGGCGGTCCGGGGGTGTCGGTTATGATGACTGAGGGAACCAAAAGAGGCGAGAAACGCATGTGTAAACGAAAAAGAGAACCGGGAAGTTGAGTACCAACTGATCGAAGTGATGACGTTGAGATTACATGTTTTGGGAGTACTATTACCTACTTAACTGCCCAACCTATGCTTGTAAGGTAGCAGATGGCAGTCACCTATGAGTACTTCCTCTGGACCGTGTGATAGCGTTCGTATTGGGAGTTCCATCGCGGAGGTGAGGCGGCTTCTCCAACTATAGAACCGGGCTCCGATATCGGTGGGAAACAGCCCCTTTTTCGCGATGTTTGGCTCTATTCCGATTGCAAGCCGGCTTCTTCCGCCGGGTTGGTGACAGGGGCAGCCGAGGAATCCAGGTGGCGGAATTTCCGGGCAGCCGTTCCACTCGCGTTGCTACCGGCAGAAGACGAAGAAATCCACGCACTCATTTCAGCTCTTCAAGCGCCCATATTGCCCTCGAGACAGAGGCAACTCCCCGTGGGAGTCGCGGCTTGCAACTGGGATGCGACGGCATATCCTCGGAGGTGGGAGATGGACGGGGAAGTCGAGGGAGCACCTGGGTACCCAAGTACTCTGTAAGTACCGACCGTGCTTGGGAGGGTAAGGGACTAAAATAATCATTAGGAATAAAACGGTTAAAATGGAAAGAGACAAGCGGACGGACTCAGAGCAAGCAAGTGCCCAAGTATCAGCAGGCCGCATCAGGCGGGCGCATTTTCGTCCAAACAGGCAGCTCGGGCGGGTACATCAGGCATGAAAGAGGCGCGGGAGCGTGGGTTTTTTCTTTTTTTTTTTTTTTGTTTCTGTTCATCCTTTCTTTTTCTCTCTCCCTCCCTCGCTCGCGTGGGACGCAGGGATCCCTTTGTTCCCGCCCGCTGCAGAAGAAGAAGCAAAGAAAGAAAGGCCCCGCCGGGCGATGTCACCGCCGGTGTCCCCGCCCCGGGTCAATCGCTGGGATGGTACTGCTGCCCTTGCTGTACTGTACATGCCCTTCGGTACCGTTACCTCCACTGCCGCTGGGGGGGGGGGGGGGGGGG